TGGTTAAACATGCACCCTTCTAAGCCCGATTCTAGGCCACTATAACAGAACCTCTGGGAAAGGACCCAGAACTCTGTTTTTTAGCAAGTTTCCCAGTGGTCCTCCCACAGGCTAGGTTCTGAGAACCATCTCCCAGTATAATCACAAGTAAACAGCACAGCGTGCTTCTCAGCATGAAATTAGGCAAAGCTGTTCCCTCACAGAGCCCTTCCTGCAGCATAACACTGCCCGTAGGTTCACATCAGACCCTCACAGCCCCAGAATCACCTTTCCTCCTCCATCCTTCCCACCTGGGCAGGAACCAGCCCACTGTCTTCTCTCTTTCTGCTTCGTGTTTGGGGAATGTATCTCCCATCCCTACTACTGGGCCATTGCCAGTGCTCCCAAGGGTCTCCTTACAGTCTGAATTCTGGAAAGAACATTGAGATTTGGGTGCCTTTCCCCACCAGCTCTCATTGTCCAAGGTATTAAGAAGCGCACAGAGAAAAAAAGCACAGCAAGAGACCCCCCCCAAAGCTTTCCCCAGGAGGGCGTGTTCCTGCTTGAGTCTGACTTGAGTTGTGCAGGAGGCTGGCCCGGGCTGCCCCCAGTGGGATCGGATGAGTTTCAAAGTCACTCGTGAACCGTGCAAGCGCAAGTAGTTGGTGTTAAGTTCATTTCTGCCCTAAGATTTCCTGTAAGCTTTCCGAATCCACCACAACCATTAACACATCTTTAGTTACGTGGCAAACGTGGCATCTGAAAAGCTCAAGTAGCAGAAGTTTGAGTACAAAACCCTAAAGAGCTGGATTCCCAAAAGAGCTGGATTCAGCTCACCAACCAGCATATGGTTACCAAGCACTTATTAGGTGCGAAAAAAAATATTTTACCTGTGTGTTGTATGGCTAGATGTGTGTGTGTGTGTTGTGATAAAAAATAATTCTGCAAGGCCCGACTGCTGGGTAGTTCTCGACCTTGGATATTTAGCTTTTCCAAGGCCTGCTGGCTAGATTCTGGTTAGTGGGATGTGTCATCAAAGGGTGGAATCGCGAATATATTTTTCATTCCTATCTACCCTTACCTGCTCACACACTATTTAAAATAGAGCTTCACACAAAGTGAGTTATTAACAGTAGCAAAAGTTTGGCATGCACAAAAAAGTTTACCAAAAACTCCCAAGATCACTGTACAGTACTGTACAGAGAGCAAGTGTTCTGGGCCTCTGAGGTGGGGACTGGCCACTTGGCATTTGTGTTTTGGGGCAGGGTACAGGGTTGGGGGGACGTCTAAGCGTAGAGCAGGTGATTTGCAAGAGGAATGTGATTTCTCTTTTGGTCACAGACCATGCTGCTTGAAATATCAATCTTTATAATTTCATAACCACTAAGTATTTGTATCTAAGGTGCTATATAAAAATAATTTGTTATAAAGTAAGTACTTAAGTATATTTTTGTTTATGTTATTTGGGATCTGTTTATTAAAGCTGTTCTTGAAACCCTACTCTTGTCAACATTTACCCTGCGGCCAGGTCTAGAGTACTGTACTAGCTATATATTCAATTCTTAAATGTGGGTTGGAATAAAAATTATTCTAGAAATGTAGTACAATCCACAAAATAAATATACTTTTAATACAGTTCAGAAAATGAGTTCCTTGCGATAACTGGGTGATGGGCATTAAGGAGGGCATGTGATGTGATCAGCACTGGGCGTTATACGCAACTAAGGAATCATTGAACACTACATCCAAAAACTAATGATGTGTTAGATGCTGGCTAGTTGAATTTAAATTAAAAAAAAAAAAAGTAGTTCTTTGGGATACATCAAATACATTGATTTTGAATCTACCAATTCCTTTCTAAATGTAATACAAACAAATTGTTAGAGGTTAAATGTTGCAAAAATGGAAAAAAGCCAACCTGGTAGTTAAATGGA